TATAATTCTTCAATTTTGAAGCGCTGTTATAGACAATATTCGATAGCTTGGCGATCAAGTTAAACTGTCTGATAGAATTTCAGAATGATAATGAAGAATGGAATAGCAAATGGCATTGGAATAGAAATCTAACAATTTTAGAATCAATAATACAAGCATATCGTAGAATTGTGTTATATTCCATCATTTGGCGTTATTCGTGCTGTCATCTTTATAAGAGTTTCTTTTCAATGAAATTAAATAGCTTTTCTCAGTTGGGGACATTGAAAATCTTCTAAAAAGGGATTTTTAGTAAACATTGCATGCAATTAAACTAAGGGATTTTTATAAATCCTGGATATCTTGTCAAACCCCGAAGAACATGGGAAACATGCTATATGAGATTGGGTTCTGGATGTTTGCTTTATTCCAAAAGTAAAATGGAACCAATAAAAACATGTGAAGCATTTATCTTCAGCTTTTTGTGTGTTCACGAAATGCAAATGTTTTACATTTTCAAGCATCATGTATTTGAAAGATTGATTTGAAATTTCCATAGACCTTCTCATATTCGTTGCCCCTAACTAGTTTCCATAAAACCTGATATCCACTTTTGTTCTCTTTGACTTTCAGCAGATTTTACAGAATAACAGCTCACTGATACATTCGCATACATTTTATAATTTTGCAAATATTTTTTTCGAATTCTCTGGTTTGGGTCACTTCGAAATATGTTTTTTTTTCAATTCTTTTTCATCATTAACGAATGCAGGACTAGTTCAATTAATATGAAAATGAAACAACAAAAACTCGTCTTTGTTGCTATTATTTACATTGTTTAACACAAGGTCACAGAATTGAAGTCTGTCGATGATTTTGATTCTGTAGGTTTCGTACACTAGCGTCTTTCTTATATCGTCTTGACCTCTATCAATGAAAAGATCCATGAGAAAAAAATAATGAGCACAAAATTTTTAAATTTTGAGGTAGAAAGTTATAATATAGATTAAAACGACTTCGCTGTCATGAAAATACAAAGGACATCAGTCAGTGATGTGCCATGCGTGATACACTCGTAGGCGATCATGTAGCTTTCGACACATGACTGACGAGGTAGTTTTTTCCGCAGTAGGTTGCCATTTCTTTCTGCGGTAGACCAGTTGCTATCAAAGGCTATAGAAGCCGGTCTGTTCTATTTACCCATAGCTGGAGTGGGGAACAAAATTCATACCTTTACCAAGGGTATTAGCACGTATATGAATGTAAAGGATTCGGCTGTAATTCGAACTCGGCTCTCCGATTCCTCATTCCGAGCCACTATCCATTACTCCACGGTAATCCCTCAATATACCCAGCAGGCTCTCTCTCTCTCTCTCTCTCTCTCACACACACACACACACACACACACACATACACATACACATACACATACATATTGTTCATTAAAGTGTCTGTTGGAAAATAACCAGCCACTTAACGACAAAATAGGCAAACAACAGTATAATTTTCATTGGGGCCTGAAATTTTTATGCAAATATCCTTACAACTTTTCAAAAGAACCTGAAAACTCTTCTTTTGCCTTTATTTGCCTGGTATTGTTCTCCTTTACCTCGTCCACGAGTTACAGCAATAATTTTATCTTTGAAATAGAAATAGAAGTTATAGAGGAACGAATCTAAACTGTAGTGACTGACAGATTTTGCGATGTGATTAGTTACCAAATGATCTTGCACAATAAGACAAGCATCTACTGGCTCTCTCATTGTAAATGTGACGCTCACTCAATGGCGTTTTACTACTGATGAGTTAACTTAAGTAAGAGTGCGCAAAAATCTACCCTCTCACTAAATGCTAATGTCACCCAGCTCGTTCTCGAGATATTCAGTATAGTTCAATAATTGTATATCGATCGTTTATATATACAGACTAGCAGCATGACCCGCCGTTGCCCGTGCTTGATTCAAAAATCGTCCGAATCATACAGCATATCGCTATCACTTGACTTAAAATATTTTTGCCCTTCCTTGCCTTTAAAGGAGTGCCCTTTGCCGTGCTGATGTTGCTACATGCCTTACTTCTTGCCTATCTCACACTGCGAATTTTTTCTAAGCTCTATACTAAACATTAAATCTGTTACGAAAAAAGAACTAAACAAAATGAACACAAAACGATCAGCTTTAAAAAAGGAATCGTAACTGGAAAAACCGAATGAAAAAAGAATGTTAACAACAAATACTTTTTCACACCCAACCCAGTTCTGCGGAATCAGAATCAACGTTGTGTTTAAGCAAGCGAATGAAACAATTGGAGTAAAGTGCCATGTAGATTAAAATTTTTCCCACTTGTGACGAATGCAGCTATCGATAATTTTTTTTTTTTTTGCATGCTAGCATGCTAGTTAACATTCGTATCAGTCAGCTGTTGGCTCTCAGGCTGGCCAATAGAATCTTCCTGCCTATTCGTGGCAGCCAGCTAGAGGCTCTCACTCTGGCCAGTACAAAATGGTTGAAAACTGCCGTAGAAGCAAGAAAAAATCGATTATTTCCGCTAATGGGAGTTGGGAAATGCAAAGTCGATCTTGACCTTCCCGCTAACTTGGAGCATGTGCATGTAAATTTTGGTCCAAATCCGTCGAAAATTGCGGCCGTGCATTCGTTACACTCACACACACACACACACACACACACACACACACAAACACGCACATCCTGCCTTATATATATATATATATATATATATATATATATATAGAGAGAGAGAGAGAGAGAGAGAGGAGAGAGAGACAGAATTTAAGAAAATCCTTCAACTCTTTCATATTCCACAAGAAATGCAGAAATAGAGTATTTCACTTGACTTGTCATTTTCTTAATAATATTATTTGATCGGGTTGGGGAATTAAGAGAAAATGCCGAGGAAAGAAATGGGTCACTGGTGCCATTAAATCATGGCGAACGGTCAGTTTCAAGACAAAGTAATCACAGTTATGATGAATTTGAAATGTCCTTTGCTTTGGTCTATTTTGTCTGTCTCAGCAAACTCGTAATCTTTCACCTCCAATTTACAACAGTTCTCTCCAATACTCCAACGCAAGTAGAGCTCCGTAGGAAAAATGTCTGCCAATCAGTGGCCAGAGATGTGATCCGGACAACTTAATCGATTAAACCGTTAATGGGGTGAAAAGAGTCCGGCTGGCAGAAAAATAGTGTCTTACAAACCGAAAGCTGATTGTTAATAAAAGTTCTCGTACTGTTTCTCTTCTCGGAGAAGAGACAATGCCTTACACACATATAATCTATCTATCTATCTTCTACAAAATAGTACATGTATGAAAAATTTGAAGTCTCACTGAAATGATAGAGAATATAAGAAATTAAAAAAAAAGAGCAGAACTAATTGTATTTTAATGATTGGCCCTTGTCATAAATGACAAAGAGTACAACAGCTATTACTGCTACTTTCTGGAAAGGGTTTGCAGTTTATTCAAATGATTATTCACAAATAAAGAGGTTTCTTTTTAGAAACGGAGATTCTTATTCAATTCATGTGCAAAAAAGAAACAAACTCGGTTTCAAATAAAACACCAACACTTCATATGCTGATTTTCAAGGAAAATATTATTTTCTCCCTTGGAAGACTGGCGTAGTATGATTTTCAAACTCTCATTTCTAATTGTAACAAACTAAATTAGTATCTCTCTCTCTCTATATATATATATATATATATATATATATATATATATATATATATATATATATATATATATATATATATATAATAGATAAAATCCCAAATGACCTCATATGTATAGTAGCCTATTGAAACATTTAAATTGATAAATTCTGTATTAGTTTTCGACAGGTTGATTTTTTGTTTGCGTTTCTCTTTCCTGTCCCCACTAACATTATAGACATGTATTCACTCCACACCGGAGTTGATAAGACAGACGACGGATAACTTCATCTGGAAAAACAAACTATTCTCCATATGAGGTGATTTTGGATTTTATTCCCTGGGATTATATAGATCCACTTACTATATATATATATATATATATATATATATATATTTATATATAAAAACTTTATAACATCAATATATATATATATATATATATATATATATATATATATATATATATATATATATATATAAGAAATATAAAGGTATATATATATAATATATATAATCATATATAATATATATATATACATATATAAATTTTATTGTTATATTAATATATATATATATATATATATATATATATATATATATATATATATATATATATATATATATATATATATATATATATATATATATATATAGAGAGAGAGAGAGAGAGATAGATAGATAGATAGATAGATAGATAGATAGATAGATAGATAGATAGATAGATAGATAGATATTCAAACATATATTGTTAAATATAACAGACAACGAATGTCTTTTATGTTTGGCTATGAGCCTTTCTAATGGGGAACATAACAGACATTCGTTGTTTGTTATATATAACAATATATGTTTGAATAATGATCTACTGCCACTATACACTATATATATATATATATATATATATATATATATATATATATATATATATATATATATATATGTTGAAAAAGGAGGGCGATAGAGGGGAGACAGACGCTCAAAAAATATCGAAAGCTATAATAAAATCAATAAAGAGCTGATAAGTGAATCAAGGTTGTGTATGTTGAAGTATGATGATGATGATGATGATGATGAAGAAGAAGAAGAAGAAGAAGAATGTACGAATAGTGATAAAAATATTATTCAAGAAAGATGTATTTTATCGATGCATTTATGCGTATAAAATTTTTTTACATATGTGTCTATATGTTTGCGTGCAAGTGTTAAAGTTGGCTTCAATCAATGTGATAGACTCGAATTGGAAGAAAAAAAACACGCGTGGATGAACAATAACGTAAGATAGAAATGATAATTAAATTGAAACTAAGAGAAACGACAAGAACAGAGACAGTGTGGGGGGGAGGGTACTTTTAGTAATGGGCAATTGCGTGGGCGGTTGTTAGTATGAGACAAAGATTAAAAAAAAAGGAGGAAACTAAAATTTGAAAACGGAAAATATGACCGGGAAAGAAAGAAAGAAAGAAAGAAAGAAAGAAAGAAAGAAAGAAAGAAAGAAAGAAAGTGGTAGATCTAACAAGAAAAACAGGAGCCTGGGAAACTCGAAGAGTTAATCGATAATTTGCGGCTGATATCAAGAGAGAAAACGGAATGAAAGAAGGTTGAACGGAAGTGCGCCCATTCAGATACTCTACAGACTTTGGTCTCTGCTTTTAGTTCCGTGTGGAGTGAGCGTATGGTTTCTTGAACAGGTCCCAAGATAAAGACATCAGATAAATCCCGAAATATCTATTAGCGACGTGGGGAAAAAAAGTTGCCACCAAAATATCGTGTTTTTCAGAACTGAATATTGAGATATTTTGTTTTCGATATTCAAGTTGTGCGTATGCTTTCCTATTTCTTCATGTTTTCATCGGCTCGATTATTTCCAAACCTCAAACTGGGACAGTTTTCAGTTTTTTTCGTTTTTAATTATAGGCTTAGTTTTCTTGTATAATAAAGTGTTTTCATGGCCCAACACTCCGAAAACTTCAGAGCTACAGACGCGCACACACACACACACATACACACACACACGCACGCACACGCACACACACAGGCGCGCGTGCACGCACACAAACAGATATTGATAGCTTATATAGACTGCTCAATGGGGGAAGAGTCTCGCTCAGAGCAAAACGTGTGATAAGTCTGCTTTAACACTTACATATTATTCAACCGAAATCTTGCCCCAACGCAAACTTCAAGTAGCAGTCAATTCTATTAGTGGATATATATTAACAAAACAACTCCACTTTGAGCTCCGCTTAAAAATAGTGTTTGCGCCAAAGAAAATAAAAATTTGTGTTAATTATTTTTTTAAATCAATTGATAACAATGCTTTATTCGTATTAAGCACAAATAGATGGAAATACAAAATGCACTCTCGCGTGCACTTATACATAAACACATATATACGCATATATACGCATATATCGATCAGCGACGTCAGCAAACTCTTCTGATAAACTAATGCACTAATGTGAAGCATTTTATTATTGTGACCTTGTACAAGACTGAGGCAGTATTTCTGTAACATAATATTTAAAAAGTGTTTTTTCTTGAGGTTAAGCTAACCCAGAAAATACGTGAAAACTTCGTATACGCTCAGAAAAACGATAAAATTGACACGTTGTTGCTTAATAAGCTTGGCATGGTACAAGGCCACAATTATGGAGTTCTCAGTGAGGATCAAACTCGATAGCAACAGCCGATGAGACGATCTCTTTAATTATAATCCCACGTTGAGACATAAAAGGATGACATTTGAGTTGATAATGATTGCTGGGCTAAGAATGGCGGAAATAAAAGTCACCAATTAATTTGAATAGAAAATCTTAGGAAATTAAACATGCCATAAAATAGCAACATTTCTAGAAAATAGTAACATTCTGATTAGACTTCATGCTTTCTGATACCGTTTTACACTGTATCCGATATATATATATATATATATATATATATATATATATATATATATATATATATATATATATATATATATTTAATTATAATAAACTTGGCGATTTCTTAGCTGTATGTTAGATTTTAATGCACGAATTAATATAAAGACCTAGAAGAATAAACCCAGAAAAGATCTTTTGAACACATTACATTAGAAGAGACGCTATGAGATGTTGCTACTGTTTACAATAAAGTCATCATTCCACACGAGAATGAAATTTTGATGGCAACAAGACACGCCAAGATCATTTCTTTTGAGAGATTAGGTTTTCTTTCTTTTTCACTATGACAGATTACTTTAAAAAAAACTATTCATTCGAGTCATAACTAAAATTTATATGTGAAGACATTCAACTTAAAACAGTTTATTTATTAAAGTATATAAAATTAGTATTCTCTTCGTATACAGATCTTAAAGAGGCGATATGAGTAAATTTTAAAATTTAAATTTACGATTATTTCTTTTAATAGTTACCTGTTAGAAAATGACTTTTCCAATTTGTTTATCTGATGCGTCCTTGCTCAAGTTTTTTACATAATTAAAATCATGTGAATTAAAGAGAGCAACATAATATTATCAACTGAAGCGAAAGATTTAAGTTTATATCTCATTAACAACGTGAAGAAAGATGATTATAGCATTAAGATTTGTAGTAGTGGCCCAAATGTCTATGAAGTCATTCGTTCTATTTTATTTGTTAATGTATCTTCTTGCATTAAAATGCAATCTAAATGTTTGAAAAAAATCTTCTAATTAGTCGGTGACATGTCTGGAGAATACAGAGACAGTGAGAAAGCTTCGAAGACTACAGCCTTAAGATTTTGTAATGTCATTTGGAAAACGTGTGACTTCCTATTCCCAGTCATCATCTAAGAGCTCATGCCGACTTTTTACATAACTTCGGCTTAATTCTTTGAATTCTTGAGAGCAAGTTTTAGCGGTGATATTTCTTCCTTATAGGGGAAGCTGTCAAGAACAGCGACCTCTCAAAGACCTCTAATCTTTTGTTGATACAAAACGATGGCTTGTCAAAAGCTTTGGGCTTCATTATGATGAAGCTATTATGCAGGATCGTTGGCGTACAGAATTGACTTTTCACTGAAGATTACTGTTCAATTAAGAAATTGTTCTCTTTTTGTTTGGCAACAATGCCATCGACCAAATTTTAAGAGGGTATTTTTTTTTCCTGATTTCTCGTTACTGGTTGTAGCACATATGTTTCAAGATTCTTTACTTTTTTTGAGTTTACTTAAAACTGTTTAAAATTGAAAATTTTAATTTCCAGGCGATTTTTCGAGCAGATTGTCGGAGAATTCTTTCCAACAAAATCTTTTAATTATTTGAAACTGTATTTAATTGGTGCTAAGGGCAATCGAAGAAGCACTACAACGGTTGTTTCAGTTTTAGCAAAAGAAAGAGCTTAATCGTTCAATTTTTATCTTGTTTCGAGCAAATGCGCATGTAATTTATTTTATTAAGTAAAAATCCAATCTAAAATCAATAGAACAATAGTTAATAAGATAAATTATACATGTAAACAGGGGGGGGTGACTGAGTATGTACTCTGTTGACCCAAAAAGTTCTGATTCACTTAGGAAGCGGAAAGAAGACAACTAACCATGATGTGTCTGTTGGAATTTCCAAGGAGGTACTGTATTTTGAGCTTGTTCCACACAGTCGCGCCATCAACGCTAAACAGTATTGCCAGCAGCTCGACCGCGTATACGACAAACTAAAAAAGGAGTATCCTGCTTTGGTCAATTGAGGTTGGACTTTGTTTCAGCAAGACAATGCAAGGCCACAAACACTGCCAAGTTGAGTAAGGAGAAGTTCAAACAGATGGATGGTGTTGAGATTCTTCCACATCCACCATTCAGTACCGATTCAACACTTTTGATGAAGTGAAGGAAACTTGTTTACAGTTTTCTTTAAAACGAACTGGTACCTGGAAGAGACTCGAATGCTGGCTGATCGATGGCAGAAGATCGTAGAGAATGCTGGACTTTATTTTGAATAAATGTTGGTGTTACTCCATAAAACTTTGTTGTTATCTTTACGCTTCCTAAATGAGTGAGGACTTTCTGGCCAACCAATTATTATAGTGCAATAGAACTACAATAATAGGTATCATAAAATAATCCATTATTTTTCCAACAAATATGCGCGAGCGTGTGTCTGTGTGTAAGTTTGACACGTGAATGTTCAGATTTCTTTGGCGAAGGCAATTAAAAGCATGTTTGCAATTCTCTGTTCATATTTGCAGGTCTACAAATCCAACTGAATATTTTTTTTAAATGTTAATATTGCATTTTGAAGACTTTGATGCTAACCACCAAACCTCTTCAGTAAATTTTGTTTCCATTCATCACAAATCGATAGAACCAAAAAACAAAAAACGAAATTAATGCGTATGTAATTGCATATGCCAAGTTAAAAGATGGCAACGAATGAACTTGTGTGTTTATGAATTTAAAGAACACAATGCTTCATTCTTTATTTTAGCCTGCTGTAAAATGTCTTCATTTAAACGTTGCGAAGCGAATCTAAAAGTGAGAAATCTTTGGCAACATTGGCAGATTTTTTTTTTTCTCTGGCATCTCATAGACTTCCGATTATGAAGAAAGACACAGGAAATTAATTCTTTAGACTGACAGAAATACAAAAAACTGCGACCATTCATCTTACACTATGAAGTATTGAACAAAAAAAGAGAGAGAAAGAAATTTAATCGGGAACAATTTACATCTCGACAGAAATTCCGGAAAAAAATAAAATCACGATTTTCGCGCCAACACATGAAAAGAAACACTTCATGTGCAGGTGAGTTTACATTTTGACTTAACAATTATTTTGCGAAAAACGAAAATGATTTTCATGGCGCGTTTGTTTTCGTTCTTAGACGCTTGAAAACGATAATTGATATTTAAACTTAATCTAAGCTTATCTTGGACTAAACTTAATCTAGTCTGGCACAAGGTTATAATGGTAGTCAGTGAGAATTGTATTCATTATCAATGTCTTGCGAGGCATAAAGCAAAATCAGCGATCGAAGATAAAAAAAAATCTTTCGTGATTAAAAAAGACACTATTTCATCTGAATAAGATCTGACATCATTAACACCATTCTGTTCCGAATGATGGTCAAAATATAAAAAGAAGAGAAGTTCGATACTTGCTTCATAGAACTGGAGTAGAAGTGACAAATCGAAATAGATTTCGATAAGGTGGAAGCAAATAAAGAAACTGCATGAATAATGGTCCTTCCGAAACTATGGTACTGTTGATGTAAATTAGTGCTCAAAAAAGCACTTCACTTTAGCCCAGTAGTAGTAGTAGTAGTAATAGTAGTAATAGTAGTAGTAGAAGAAGAAGAAATATAGTCATTGTGAGCAAGAAGCAATTTTTAATATAGATATTACAGACTAGTCCCAGAGTATTTTTAAATCTGAAAGCTTGAAAATATATGTTGTGCATATGCTAGGATATGAAAACCGCATATAAATAAATAAAATATGGTCACCGCTAATAAAGAAAGAAAGACGAACGGCCGCAAGTTATCAACCGTAGCAGCAGTAACAATCAAAACATGACTAGCAGCAGGAGCAGTTGCAACTCTAATCAGCAGGCAGGTTAGGTTTGAGACTCCAAGTTCACTACAGCAATGGCCTAATGGATTAAAACGTTGGTTTGTGGATTTGGTGGCATAGTAATGAATAGTCCGATTATAAATAGTTTTATATAAAAATTACTGAATAATCTCGCACTACAAATATATATCACAAATAGAATAATTAAAAATCTGAGAAAGAATGAAAAACTATCGAGAAGGTAGCATTATGAAAATCATCCAGACTACTGACCATAGGACTGATAGTTTTTCATTGAAAGCATCAGATACACAGATGGTGTGAACAGACAGCGAGTATGAAATTATTATTGTGATTACTGTTAATATTATTAAAACGAAGACAATATCAACAGTAATAATAACGATAATAATAAATTAACGATCAAAAGAAATGTAAAGAAAGATTTATATTTGTGTTTCATTATTTATTTAATTATTAGGAAATATTGGTCTACAAAAAAAAGGATTATTCCACGATCTGTATTTTGAACAAATTGATTGTATGCAGATAGAGAACGAGTTTAAGGAATATACCAAAAAGGGTCATGTAGATGTGTTTTCTCGCCGGATTTTTTAATTTCTACGTAGATAAGCTGAAGTGAATATAAAAGTAAACACGATACATTTGGAACTTGTAGAATCAATTTGATGAGAGATTGACTAGATGAACCAGGCGCCATCCTTTGTACACATCCGAATGTCACGTCCCGCTTGATTGTGCTTCTTTGTAATTTTGTTTGATTTCCACAGATTTCCTTTGATTCCTCTGATTTCTTTTCTTTGGTTCCCGGGAATCAAGTGAAATATACGATGTCGTCCTTATACAGAAAATAATTGATGACTTATTGAATGTAAGCAAATGGTAGATGTATGAATTTTCCTTGGAAATAAGAAAAGTAAAATGATATGACTTTGAAATTTAAACAGGCTATTACTGTTAAGAAAGAATGAGAATTATGTAATATAGGAATCGTTTTTGTAGCTGATGTATAAGGAAATTATAAAAACCTTGCTCAAGAACTAAGAAGGTTAGGGAAGTCGATACTTGAGAGAAAGACTGATTCAATATATGGCATTGCGATTTAAGAAAGCGAATAGAGTGCGCCATAGATTTGATGTCACGTGATGTCGCCAAATTAAAAAAGTAAAATATAGAGACCGCCAAATTAAAAAGCAAATAATAATAATAATAATCTTTCCGCGGAGAAAATTCGAAATTACTGAAATTGGTGAGTGAGTAACGTGGCCTCTGAGGGAATTTCACTGGACCAAAAATCATTATAGAATGCGTGAAGCGATGAGAATGCTTTACTGTTTGAAATTTGGATGACATTCTGTAGTTGTGGTTCTTTGCTTCCATCTTTCTTGACATGAGATCAATGGCGCCTATCTCTCACCGATGACGAATACGGCAATTATATCCAACGGAAGTTTTCCTTACGTTAAGCGACTGCTCCTCGCTGTGTCAGCATGAAGAAACCGGTTATTATCACACGATGACTGTCAAAATGAGAAAATACAACTTGTTAAGCCAATAAAAAAAGTGATAGGAGGTTATCTTGAAAGCAGTGCCGTGCAACGAAATTTTGTATCGGTCGTAGACAGTATGATTCTGTCTTAGTAACAATGTTTCCAAGGCCCGTCATGTTGATTTCAGGATCGAAGTAACGAATTATAAGATAGCTAAATGGTTAAACATTATAAACTTATTCGGATAAATATTTGTTACAAAACGACTGGTCTGGTGTGATTCGCCGTACTTATTATGAAAATCAAATATGTCCCACTGATCAGGTATTTATTAAATATTATATTTCCGCGTATAAGACGACCTTTAAATCCCCATAATCGCCATTAAAAATGGGGGGTCGTCTTATACTAGAATTCTAAAAAAGGAATGTTTATTTCCGAGTTATGTCTGTCAGTAAACTAACCTCGACTTCGGTACGATAAACAGTAACCTACATGAAAAGATTCACATTATCAAATAAACTGATAATAAAAGTAATAAAACCATTTCTACCTTATATATTAATGGCATAACTTCATAATAAATTGCCTATACAAAGAATAATTTCATATCAATGAAATCAACTGTATCCATGCAATCTCAACTGAGAAAATGTAAACATAGAGTTATGATTGCAAATAAAAAAATGTACTGTTATTAGCGGTATTTTGAGGTTGGCGATGAAGTATAAGTAGATGGTCATTAGTACACCAGGCTGTTTGTAACTGTTTAGATATAGAAGAAGAAGAAGAAGAAGAAGAAGAAGAAGAAGTCTTTCCAAGAAGAAGGAATCAGTCTTTGAGGGAAACGTTATGAAAAAAAATGGTTTCACTTTTAGGGCACGTGCGTAGGAAAAAACATGATATAGAATGAATTTCAGAATTTCGTTTCCTTTGAATTTCTAAGGATACAGTAACATTACCAATAACATCGTTTTATATAATCAATAAGCAATGGCCTTGTACTACAGGTATGGGCTATATTCATGAAAATTTGCTCTATTTTTTTTTACCTCGACTTATCCAAAGGTCGCCTTATACGTGGAAATATACGGCAATCGCTCTTCCATGTGGCATATAGTCGGTGTGACCGGCGCAATCATGGCCAGGCATTTCCAAACCTCCACGTTTCGTGCAATGACATAGGTGCTGGGTTGCTATCACTGTAAAAACACAGCAACGCGTCTCCCCGAAAGCATGAGAATAACGGTTGAGAAGGGGAACAGCTACTAAACTTAAATCCTAGGAGAACACACTTGCACTACACTGATCTTAGGCAAAAAACGTCTATCCATAAGTCAATCATTTTTAGGCGTATTATGAAGGTTTTCTAATATTAAACCAAGAGAAAATGCATGGATGGTAGGTGTAAAATTTCAATGACAATGTCTTTCGAGATAAGACAACTTGATTTTAAGACGAATAAACAAATCAGGACTATAAATAAACCACGTAGACGGGTGATCAGTTGAATATAAAGCACAAATACTGATGCAAATGAAAACAGATCTGCATAAACAGAATAAACAGAAAAAGGTGTTCCTGATGACGACAAAAGATTAACGTATATAAAAACATTAGGTCATATATTTCAACCAGAAATCGATTTCCGAATCACAAAAACAAAATGATTTGGCATTGTGACAGAAAAGTAAAAAAAAAAAGACAGAAAACCTGTTTCGATGTCAAATTACAAATAAACAAAATAAATAGAAAACCAGTCAATATATCTAAAAAAGAAAACTGACAAAATTAAAAAGCGAAACCATTTCCTAAAAATCTTTCGGTCTGATGGGGAAACAGAAAATAATATAATTCACATTGATTGGTTTAAAACTTTCTCATGTTGGTCTCGCTTCCATAGTGAAGAATTGCCGTCGACAGGAGTTTATCCAAACTAATCCGGAAGTACGAAGGTAGAATGTCAGATATGACGCAACTATAAACCAATTACATGCTTACCTTTTGTTAAACTCCCTTTATACTGTAAAAGTACAACATAGAAAACATAATTGAAGGAAAAATTCAGAAAATATCATTCAGTATCTCTCTCAATAAATTTATTTGATGTAGAATGAATTATTTACAGTTCTATTGAAGAATAAACAAACGTCTATTTCGTTTAGATGCATAAGCGATTACGTATGATCCATTAGATAAAAAGGAACGAACAGTGTCCATAAACTTGAATATTAGAATGATTAAATATGTTAAAATTTCAAGACATGTAGAAATTCCTATGAAATGTCAAAGTCTGAAGTAGAATTGACTGCTGCAACGACAATCTTGAACTGTAGTCAAGAAAAATGATTTTTCCAGGTAAATTCTCTTTGTCGGTTTCTTTTTTTATGTAAATGGTACCACTGGATTTTATCTCACAGAATTTTTGTAATGAACGAATTCAATTTGTCACGAAGGAAATCTATTCAAAAAGCTACAAAAACATTTAATCACCTTAAAGTGTTTTGGGCCAATAATTATCAATTAATCATCTACAGCTGAGGTATATCTTAAAGTTATGATCTTCAGCCAATACAGCGAAATGAATTTCAGAATCGAGAAATAAACAATGTTATTGATGCACAAAAGGAATCTCAAAATAAAAGAATAATTTGAACTTTGCAACCAGAAAATTATCAAGATGTTGAATAAGTAAAAGAATAACTGTCACATAGCTCTAATGGAGGACATTGAATAAATGTCATAAAATACCTCATAAAACCAGAAGAATATTGAAAAAAAATGATCCCACTAATAAAGAATATGAAAAGAATAAATGCCTTGACAATATACATTGTAAGCTTTGCGCGACCTTTATTGAATGTGACGAAAAAAGTCTTGAAAAATGTTGGTTGAAAGAAAAAGGAAATTGCTGACAATACATAACGCATTACATCCAAGAAATGATGATAGATTATATGTGAAAAGGAAAAAAAGAGGTAAGAGAACTTTTCAGACATTGTCGACTCTCTCCTGTCAAATGGAAGAGAGGACTAAACAAAGCAGGGGAATGAAAGGCTCGTTATGACAAGCAAATATTGCCGTAGCATTGACAGAGGAACAATGATAGAAAAATAAAATTGCAAATGAGATGATATCAAAATCGTTGCCAAGATGACAACTGAAGGGAGAAATCTGTAACCAAAGTTATATTAGAACCATCTGCGTGCCAAAATTGGTTACAACAAAATAATAAATGTTGATTGTGTGGAGACAGAGGTCGTCAAAATGACGCATAAAGAGGACAAAATAAGCTATGACTGGTGTGCAAAGAGTTATTTGCACAGAACTGTGCAAAATTCTGAGAATCGCCCATAAAAAAACAAATGAGATATGCATAAATGAAAATCCATTTTCGAGAAAAATTTTCTTGAACTTCAGTATTCCAATAAATCACTCTATTTAGGTGAGAAGAAAATCTTCTTAGCAAATTATTACAAACTGTGACGTTAAGAGAAATTGAAAAGTCAAAATCATCTGAACGCAGGAAGGCTTGTGAAAATTTACAGCATTTGTAGCCATCATTTTTTAGGCGTTTTGAATAATTCCAAATTATTCCGTTGCTCAAAGATTGGAAATATTCCGATTCTGAGGAAGAAACTAACTAATCCATAGCACAGAGTTGTTAATAAGAATAATGAGGAGATTCTTGGAGTTTTGAAATACTAATCTCTAGTGAAGTCAGCAAATCCGAATTGCATGGAAAATAAAATGATTAGCATATAATTGGGTATTATAAAAAAATAGAAAGAAAAATGCTATCACGTATGAAATAATAGAACAGCAAGCTTGGGAAAAATAAAGTCGACCTGAAAATACAGGAGACTTGTTAGAGAAATTAGAGACCTGGTAAATAACTGAAAAAGATTATGGCAATGTTAAAACTAGTGTAAATATTGTAGAATATGTTGGATATTTACGTAAACATCTCACCTGGTATCTTTTTATGTAAAGACAAAAAATCTTTGGTTTCTTTTAATCCAGATCGAGAATGTTTTCGAAACAAAAATGGATGTGATATTTGTAAACAAAGGATAAGATGGTGGACATGATTGCAAAATCCATGAGGCGCAGATGAAAGAAATCAAAAATACAAGTACCTTGCAGGGAAAGTAACAAAGCCACAGACCAGGTTAAGATCATACCTATTAAAATTGACGTATTTAGAATTTTACCAAAAATACAAGAACCAAGGATTTTCAAAGGATTCTCAGAAAGTTGTTGGAAGTTTCGTAATAATTTTTGTCAGTCATTCTCCAACGATAACCAATTTTTAAATTCATTGAATCAGATAACTGCATACATATCAATTGATAATTACGTATATGTAATTGGAATAACGTAAAAATACTAAAATAGATTAATATGAAGACATTGATTGAGGGAGGCGGAAATCATGAAACATTAAAGTAAAGTTAATAATCACTGATGCAGTTGGAATAGTTCTTTGGGAAAAGGAGATGAAACGTTTAAATTCTTCATCAATATTGATGAGATTGATGGAGATTTGCGAACACTTCATATTCCTTGATCCTCAGCAATTACTTCTGGTATGAATGCTCAAACAATAATCTGAAGTAAAACATTCCAACATTGATAGATTGCATTATTGAATTCATGGCTATTGGTTCAAAAACTTGATGGCGATCTACAATGATAAACTTTCACAACGACTGCTTAATAGACTAGAAAGTCCTTGAAAACGTTCGATTGTCTTTAATAAAGAACGATTTACGCGGAAAAGAGAATAGCAAACGTAGAAGACGCACTAAATGCCTTTTGCTCTGAAGTGGAAAATACGTACGTGTTGATTGCTTGCAACTCCTTCCAATCGTGGATAGCATTTGGCTTAGAATGTTCAGCGGAGTGGATAACGCCGAATGTATCTGATCGCCAAGCTGAGACAAAACTGATTGTAGAATGAACAACAGCAGGAAATGAATTTTACACTGAAAATGAAGAATTTTGATGGCTGATTAGCTCTTATCACTGGCATTCTTTTACAAGCAAGAAATAACGTTTTCAAATATCAGAGAAAAGTTTAGCTGCCAAATATAAGTTACAAAATCGAGTCCAAGCAATAAAATAAGAGCAACATAAAACATCGTTAGAGATAGAAAAATCGTTTTCAGTTATGTTTAACGTGGAACAATAGTTAACAACCGACTTCAGCAGACCAATAGCGTTGCATTCTGTTCAACCAAATTCATAACTTGGAATAAATACATGCTAAGCGAAATAAAGAACTTTTAGCAATTTAATCTCACAGACCATTACTACTTTAAAATTTGATCTACATTGGATTGAAGAATTTTTGGCCTTGTGCCAAACTAATCTATGTTTGTACGTAGTTTTCTTTATGTTCTATTGTTTTATCTTTTTTTGTTTTTGTTTTTGTTTTTTCTTATTATTTTGTTGTTTTTTGTTGTTTTTGTTTTGTTTTTTTTTTGTTTTGTTTTGTTTTTGTAGTTTTTTTCAGGTAGCAACAATTACTTCCAGTCTGGGATGAATGGTTGGATGCAATTTCTTTCTATTATATTTGTCTGCTTTTCGGTGCTACCATTTTGTATAAAGTATTAAATTATTTGTGCAATACTTAAAATCTATTGCTGTTCTTGCCGTATTGTATCTTTATTCGATTTAATTCTCCAGCGATGAACAAGAAACTAAGAAAGAAATCACTGAAACCTAGAAACTATTCAAGTGAGAGTTTCGCTTTGTGGATTTCAGGGAATTTAGTTGAGTAATGGAAACTTTTGCTTATTCATAATAATAAAAATATTTAGCCGCTCTTGTTTGACAAGTAGCATTATTCCTTATCGTATGTTTCTATTCTTCTCTCACCTACCTGTATCTTCTTATTTTACCCTTATCCCTTCCAAACTTCATTGATCCTTCATAACTTTTTGTTCTCATTCTTTTACAAGGATTGATTATTTTCATAAACAGAAAGAAGAATAAGAAAATAAGAAATATTTTCTCTTGCATATTCACTTTTATCTTTTGATCGATTTCTCCCGAAATGATTTTGATGTATAGAAATTGTTAAACCTTCCAATCCCTATTGGCCATTTAAGCTTTCGCTAATTGTCATTTGATATTCAGATAGCAAACCCCCCTCTCTTACTGACATTTGTCATCTTTATCCCTCTCTCTCTATATATATATATTATTTTTTCCTCTCTATTTTCTCCTCTTACGTTTTTCTTTTAATTTTCCCTTAACTTTCTTTCCTGTTTCACGCCTTTTTCTCTACCCCCTTTTCTTCTTTGCTTCTTCCAATTCCTTTCCTCTCAACATTATTATTATAGTTTTCTTGTGTGGAAAGCGTAATTCCAGCTTAAAAGAGATCGGACAGATACTATACTCTGATCATTAACAGAGTAATTTTATCAGGATAACAACAGGATATCAGAATCTTTTCGAAAGCATTTCAGAATATAACTTCGGCAGTATTCCCATTCATTATTCGAGCACTTGGAATGATATCAATGACTCTTACTAAAAGACTAGAACATTTGGAAATCTGAAGAAAACTACTAGGGGGGTGCGGAGGTGTCGTAGAATTAAGAAAACATTTTTTCACTTGATGTCCAATCAGCTCGAGACCTGACACAACTCAAATGTTCAGTCATTAAAATTAACGCTAATAAATTTTAAGTGTATATTTTCCGCATTTTCGAAGAGAACCAGTTTCTGATTTAACAAAATGTAGTTTAAATCAGACTTTTCTTAATTTTTTTAATTGTTCCTATTTACCCGACAAGTCATCGTTATTGAATTTTCTGTATTGCACTGATCTTTTCATCGACTTTCATCTTTGATTAATGATGATCACTTGACAATGCAATCGATTTTTTGTCAAAGCCAAATTGACATATCAGTCATTCATTTCATTGATTAACTTTGTTCAATCCCCAAAATCTCTGAACAAGTCGACAAGGACCTTCACTCAATTTTACATTATTATTATTATTATTATTATTATTATTATTATTATTCCATCAGTACCCCCCCCCCCGTGACCTTCACTCGGCATCGAAGTCTTCTGAAAATTCCAACTCTTCTCAGTTTTCTTGTCGGTTTTAACAATACTGATATTATCATGTTTTTCTTTTCATTTATATTTTTTAGGAATTTATTTATTTAGAATTGCTTCTTCTTCTTCTTCTTCTTCTTATTATTATTATTATTATTATTATTATTATTATTATTATTATTATGTATGTTTATATTTTAGTTAGCTAGCACGTGTGTTACGCTCTGTCAATACTTGTTTGGTTTCACTGAAAGAAAGAAAGAAAGAAAGAAAGAAAGAAAGGTTAGATAGAGGAGGGAGTAACACTCTCACATGTTAAACGTCTGCGTCATAGAAAACCTTTCTCAATTTTGAATCTTTTCATTTGTACCCTTTTACTTTTTTAAATAAATGACCTGCATTTCTATTTATGCTTGTTATTGTAATATTCTGTTAAAGTTGGTAAGCTGAAATATTTAACGATGCAATTGGGGAATTTCCACGAGTATTTTATAGTCATGGAACTCGCAAGGATCTTATTCAATCATTAATTTAAGAATTAAGATTCATTAGAAAATTCAAATAAAAAAAAAACAACGCAATACAAGACCCAAGATTGTAGTTTATTGTGGTTCACCCACAAATATCTCTTCTGTCGCTGTAGCGCTATAGACGTACGTGTTTCCCTTGACTCCACTCCTCTTAATGCAGAACTGAGGAACTGATTACAGCCATTGGGCCCCTTGTTTACTTTAAGCCCAACTAGTAGCCACAACAAGAAAATGAGAAACAAAAAAAAATAGATGGCAAGTGTAATACTTGGGCCAACCAATTAGGCTAAACCTCACTGCAGCTGATTTGTAACACAGGCTATTCCGTATTTTATACGCAAACGTTTATTGCACATTTAGGCGGGGAATTTTCAAATCTTTTTCTTGGTAATAACGAATATTTGAATTATACATTGATAGACAACTTATTTCAACTTTCTCAATCCTTGTGAATGTATCCTAATATCGGAATCTTATCACATAGAGATGAGTTTAATTTCCACGTTATCCACATATAGTCTAACCCAAAAGAAATCGATTTCACCTTTCAATATGGCTTTTCTGTGTTCCATAGTTTGCAGTATTCTATTTCTCTTTCTTTTTGTCAGTCACTCTTTCTTTATATTCAATAGAAATTATTTTATTATTTTCAAAACCTCTCTCAACAACTATAATAATTTACATGCCTTATGTTCAGAAATTTTGGATACAGTTTCGATAGTGAAGATTTGGCAATGCTTATAATCTGGTGGTCATGACAAATCAAAAGCCTTTATTAAGAACAGATTTCTAGGAGTTATTCAGTTGTCACTTGCAGGTACGTCTTACTATTATTCCATTTTTTTTTCAGTGATTCATTTTTTACGGTTTATCAACGCTTCGCAGATTATTCTAAAGCCAGCAAATATTTTTAGATTGTAAGAATATTTTTTTAGATAATAATGGTTTATTAATACAAGTTTTACTAATTAATCCATAGCTGGGGGAGAAGAGATGCATTCATACCTTCTCCAATGTTATTTACGCGTAAGTGAATATAACGAACCTAAAAGAACTTGGAACTCGGTTCTCCAATTAAGAATTCCGAGCCATTATCCATTACACTAACCGCGCATCCAAGCTTACAAAACCTGGTATTCCCAAGCCGTCACCCATCTAAGTACTGACTAAGCTTAAGTTTACTTAACTTCGATGAGCTTACGGGAACAGGTGTCTGAACATGATGGGGCCATAAGCCTTCCAGTTCTCTTGTGAGCATCTAACATGTTTTAAGTCTTTCAAAAATATATCTTTTGATGGTTTATCTAATTCTTTAATGACGTTTATCTTTTCAAGGTGAAATATTTTTCACAATAGGATATTTTTGAAGATAGAGTTTAAAACCTCGGTAGTAATGTTTCACTATTCTTTGAGTTCTCACTATTTATGCCTGTATTGAACCTCAAAACCCTCACTATCGGTACCTACAAAGGATGTTCCGAAAGTAATGTCTCTTATGTCTTACCTTGGAAAGTACAGAGTAATCCAAAAATCCATTCACCGCAAGAGAATATAATTTTCTATTTTCAACATAAACGATAACAGAATTCCCATCAGCTGAAGGAAGCCGTTCGAAGAGCCTACAGCATACAGGATATGGCGCCGCATCATTTTGTGCCAGGAAAATGATAGTCTTCATACAGACCTTCTCGATGTGTGACAGCATCAATGAAAGTGAATAAACTGAATCCAGTACATATGATTTGTATAACTGGATTACTTGTTCTCATTATTTTTTTTCGTGGGTGGTGACAAGACTTTCGGGCCACTCTGTATATCTTATAGAGGGAATACATTAACACTGTTGGATAGAGCATATTTTCAGCTACGAAACACTATTTTTCCACCTTTATCATATTGGCTGTGAATATTCGAAGCGTCTTCATTTCCACCCGTCACGTAGATTATCTCACACATCGCTGTCGCCCCTTCTCACACTCATTATCAATCGTTTTTGGTTTCTGTAAACATTAAGTAAGAGGCTACTATCTGCAACAAAGCCAAGTGATTGGGGGTTAGAATTAAACCATAACGCCATAACACGATTATCCACCTCTGATATTATGAGTCAATAGAATAAAGGCGCGGGTAATTACTTATCATCAGTATCCATATAATTCCCACTTCCTACTCTTATATTTACATCACATAGCTCATCCAGTAATTCTCTAGCTTGAGTGGCTCTTTAGCTTTGTATTGGGTGAACATGAATAAATAAAATGACCCTTGTAAATAAGTTAATGGAAATCCTGGTTAGAGTTCAGAAACAATTTGGCCGAAAAATAAAGAAACTATTTCAAAAATTATTATATAAATTATCAATTCATTATTTTGAAATGATTTCTTCATTTAGTCAAAAAGATATTTAATAATTTCATATTTAAAAAGTTAATAATTTTATTATTTCATCAGATATCTTACTTATTATAAAACGCAGGTTGTGTGTGTGTGTATGTGTGTGTGTGTGTGTGTGTGTGTGTGTGTGTGTGTGTGTGTGTGTGTGTGTGTGTGTGTGTGTCTGTAACGTTTATATGTTGGATCGAATTTCCTACATTTTTTAGCCGATTTCAACAAAACTTCACAGGACTACATAAAATTACATTTTGGTGGTTCTAACGGCGCCGAAAATGGAAAAAGCACAGTTGTTTTTTTAAGAAAATCAATTTGAAAACACCATTAAGAAGACACATCGTGAGAATGAAAGGGGACAACTCACCCACGAAAATGTAAACAAAAGAGCATAGCATGATGAAAAAAGACGCCGAACTTGACGAAAACAAAATTTTATCGTCTAATGTTCATATTATTATTAAAGAGGAAAGATCAAAGTATTTTGGGGTATTTTTTTAAATTTTTAATCGTTCCTAGCACGTCTGAAATTTTCGTTAAAAAATTATTTTTTTTTTGGTCAAAAAAAGGACAGATAATCATTTTCAATCATTTTTTTCGATTTGATAAAAAAGATTAAAATCTTACTTTGTTATTCTTTTAAAAATCATTTATCATTTTTTCAAAACTAATTTTAATAAAAACAGAAATTATACTGTTTATTTAAAATATTTTGAACCAAGCTTAACTTAGCTTCTTCGCCGAAAAAATGTAATTTGAAAATAAAACAAAGCAGGTCATAACCTTTCGCGTCGCTTGACGATTGACGAAAGGCACATTCATGACGTTTAGATAACTTACGGGAGGGTAATTCTTTCTACGGATGGAAGGAAGTGAAATTATTTAAGTGAACAAATTATTTACCTTGTTACTTTTAAGGAAAACTTAATTTAGGTACCTTTCTTATGAAATTTTATCAGAAGTGTACATAAAATACTATAATTTTATGCACATTTATTACATTTTACTGTGCTATTTGTATTTCCATTCATTTTATTATTAATTTTGATATTTCATTTATGGAAAAATGTCATAACTGAGATTAATATAAAAATAAGATCATATAAATTAAAGTTTAGCAGTAGTTAAATTTCATAAGATGATACTGTTACATGTAGGTACCCTTCGCAGTTGAAATTGAAAACTCAAATTAACTTCTCCATACGTGTTTCGCAAAAGTAAAGGGCTTAACAGCGGAGAACAATGCTGAACTCAAATAATGCAACTAAATTGTATTCTGGTTGGTCTTCCGTACTTGATAATTACTGTCCGACTATAAACACAAAAATTACATTTCTTAATTACCATGGATAATCTGATTGGTCCAAATTATACAATTTTCAAAGCGCTAGACAATGACAATCTCACACGGACATTTTGAAAGGTTGATGTTGCATTTAACTAATGTTAAAATATTTTTTAAAATTCAATTTAAACATTTTTTAAAAATCTTTTTAAAATTAAAGAAATAAGAAATAATTGTATTAAAAATTCAATTTTCATTGAAAAAATTTTTGCTTCCAGAAAATATTGTCCATATTCATAAAAACAAATTAAAACAAATAAAAGCATTTGAAACTAAATAATATATTTGTTTTATTGAGTTTTGTATGTTACAATTCACAGCTGATTTTCAGGTACGTTGGCCAAAAAAAAAAAAAAAAACATGATTTGCATCCTTCAAAGCCTTGTGCTTTTAACTATTGTAATCACTAAAACCGATGGTCTCGAATTTCTAGAGTTTTTCATAAAATTAGTTATGGGGGTGTTAATAAATATAAAAAAAATATTTCTGCCATGACTTTAATAAAAAAACAACATATTTATAATAATTTCGATCATCTGTGAATAGTTTCTGAAAGTTTCATTAACATCTCTCTCTGTGTGTGTGTGTGTGTCCACTTTTTTTTTGGCAGGTAGTATTTCTTAATGTCTTGCACACTTTTTTCTTTATTTACATTCAGAATGCTTTAAAAATTCCATTTACAAGACAATTGTTTATAATAAAATTCTATTCACCAATTGATAGACTCATAACGATTGTAAACAATGTTTTTTTAAAAAAAAAACTAATTAAGACATGCGTGTCCGTCAACCTTAAACAATAATTTTTGTCAATTTTATTTTTCAGTCTTTATGATGGTCGATACTTGATCTATCTCTTACTGTTACATCCCCGGGCAACGCCGGGCTCTACTGCTAGTAAAATATAAAATCATAAAATATGATAATATAAATATAAATATATCCATATGTATATGTGTGTACGTGTGGGGGTTAGAGAAATGTTAGTAAGTATGTTATTGATTTATTCCCAGAGTTCGGAGGAAGCTCATTTCTTTAATGTGCTTTTCCCCAATACACACGCAGAGTTTTAATCGATTGCGTTGAACCTTAATGCAAACATCTGATACGTTTGAAGCAGACTGGATTCAATAGAAATCCGCTATTCGTCATCATCAATGTTCAGTGACCGTCATTTACGAGATACAACTTGAAAAACCTCTTGAGATATTTGAACAAAATATCAATTTATATTCACTGAACAATGTACGGATGTTTCAGTCTGTTTCTACGGCTTTTGTTTCAAGTTTAAATTCGTAACAATAAAGTGAAACCAAGTTTGTTGCTTATATATATATATATATATATATATATATATATATATAGTTTTAAGGTGTGCTATATTTATGGGATAAAATGCACAATATCAGACATAGAGCGTATGTAAATGTAATAGTGAACATTAGTGGCCTGATGATTGCGTCTAGCATGAAACAGTCTGTCACCTCTGAGTGTTGACTTCAATGTTCACTTTTATATATATATATATATATATATATATATATATATAGCCTCCTTTGTAAATCACAAGCTGCCAGATCCTCCTACGTCGAAACCGACGGGAGATTCCATGCATGTATACACCACGCGTAACAGCAAAATTTTATTTAAATCATGTAATAGCATATTTATCCTTCCCAAAAAATGTTTATTACTAAAAAAATCTACTAAACTAATTGAGTTTCTTTTTTCCAGATTTTCACATAAGACGTTTAGCCTTCTTGACACCATTTGTTGTAATAATCACTGAAAATCCCTTTGATCTATTCAGCTACAAAGACAGCAGCTTCAAATTGTTTGGTGTCGGCTCCACTGTCTTTTCAATAGAGTAATGTTGGAAGGGAAAAGGCCTTCAGTAATGATACCAACATTCATACTCTGGCTTTCATATTCAAAGTTCATTCAATAACCATCAAGAGATCGATAAATAAGTTTTAAAAAGAGGGAACAGTAGAGAAGAAAACTGGATCAGGAGGTCACAACAGGAAAATGGGATCATCATTTCAACTAAAGAGATCTTAGAAAAAAATCGAACTCAATTCATAAGACGTTTGGCACGTGAGAGATGAATTTCAGCTGTGACAATCCAAAGAGCAGTGAAAAAAAGACTTGAAAATGAAATCGTGAGGCACCTTAATACTCCAGGACAGAAAGTTAGAAGATTAAAGAGGGCGAAGCTCATCTTGGATAAGTTGGAAAATGATCTTGAAATAATATATATTTGAACTTTATTTCAATCCTTCATGAGCTTCTGATCCTTAGCTATGATTAATTAATAATAAACATAGCATTTTCGATTCTGATCGATTACATATTTCTGTTAGGCTTGGAGAATAATTATACATTCTTATCGCTCAAAGTAGAGTCAAATAGTGTTTTAAAAACCTTGGAGAATTCCAGTAAGATATCTTTAATCATTCTTATGATAAAACGGTTCAAAGCAAT